ACAGGAGCTCCTATGATGCTGCTTGGCCTGCTGTGTTCATCCAGCCCTGCACCTTGTTGTCTCGGATTCTCCAGCATCTGCAGTTCCTACTATCTCTGATTAAATTTCCAGAGATCCTGTTTTGAATTTTCAGTCTGCTGATCTGGACTCGGTCACATGGGTACCTAGTTGACTGCAGAACCAGTGGTTAAGAAAATTTGACAGGATCCCTTGTTCTGATGTCTTTCTAGTGACTACTACTAGAGAATGAATACTGATGAAATCAGAGGCCTGAATTAAACTCCTGCCTCCTAAAGGGAATAATGTAAACTGGAATGTTAAGAGAGCCTGGGTATTTGCACCTTATTCCTATTCCCACATCTAATTTACATTACCTCAGGCCAAAGAAGGTCTCCTGAGGAGTGGGGGCCTAATTCAAATGGCAAATTCCAGTAATATCATTGGAACACACAAACCTTTGACTGTGGACTTGACCAAGTATCACAGAGTCACTCGTCCAGTAGCAGAAACCAGCAGCAGCAAAGCTCCTGGCCAATGGAGTCCCAGGTAAGCATGTTGCTTCTGGCTCATCAAGGATATATTGGGCCTCCTTTGGCTTGGTTTCCCACCTTGCCTGCACATGGATCATCACATTTCCTCCTTCTCCACCAGTCTGAGTTTACATTGCTGAAGAACATTTCTAACAGAGCCAGTGACAGCGTGACTTCCACAACCATCTCCAACACTTGTCCCACCAAATTTCAACTCCCACTTGGTGACAATGATATTTTTAATGTTTTGAAATTCATCTTGATAATCTGAGCTAGGAATTCAAATTGTTTGAGTTCACCATCTGAGTGACCAGATGGATCTGCATATGCTTCATTGATCACACACCTGACTCTTGCCCCGGGTTAAATTGGGGAATCAGGTGAGGTCAGGACTGAGTCAGCTGGACAACCCACTTTTGAGCTGGGTCACTGAATTAGCACTGCTAGTGATTTCCCCCGATCTTTCCTGAAATTAACTAGAGCACACTAAATGCTGCCTGAGCTGAGATGAGCTAAAACGAGCTAAAACGTGAGGGATTGTGAGTTCCTGATTATTTGGAACTGTAAGAAATAACCTTCAGAAGAGGAGGAAACAAAGTAGCAATTACAAATTTGTTTAATTGCCACTCATGTATCTTCATTTGCTCTAATTCCAATAGGATGCTTTGATTCTCTTGCAACCAATTCAACATCAAACAGTAATTTCAATGAAAATGTAATGTAATCTAGAGTACCTGTTTAACTTTCTCTGAGGTGCATTTAAATCGTATTCGGTTTATTAGTTGCTGAGGTACAATGCAGCTTCGCTGAGGAACAGTCTTTCTTCGGAATGGTTTGTTTGAATGTGGCTTTCCATGTTTACAGGACTCCGACTGTTTTGCTTGAAATTGCTGATGAATCTGCTGAATCTTCATATGACAATACATTTGCAAAGGTGCTGATTCAACTGGGAGAGACTGAGCGGCCTCTAATAAAAATGAAATATAAAATCAAGTCTATAAGAAAGAAAATTAAAACTAGAAAGTGATTAATAAAAAAAATCTTGTGAAAGCAAAACTCACATTCTCGAGAAACTAATAGCTCCATCACTCAAATGCACCCTATTACAGTATAATGTGTGATGCAACACTTCTCTTTAAAATTGATTGGAAATTCTATAAATTGGTTTAAAGCTCCGCTGTAGTCTTATAGTATTTGTCATGAACATTTAAAGAGTGATGCATTATAACACCCGCATCTCTGTCATCTCTGGCTTCTGCACCCTGTAAAGTGGATGCAGGTTTATCAATTGACCTGCCCCGCACCCCCCCGCACCCCCCACCCCCCCAACAGCGTAATGCTACAAATTTCACATTGAACATCATTTGCCAGTAATGCACCCATTCCCCATTGTAATATGATATGCTTAGAGGAAGCAAGCATCCTCTTCAACTCGAATAATCTTCCTGGATTAAATTTTAGGTAATGAAACCGGGCAAGTGGTTGAAATATCATTGGGAGAACATTTTATGGAGAACAATCATAATTCCATTAAATTTACCACCTGCCCATTTACCTCCTCCCACTTCAGCATCCAAAGCCCCAGTCATATCTTCCAGGTGAAGCAACAATTTACCTGTACTTCATTCAAACTAGTCTACTGTATTTGCTGTTCATGATGTGGTCTCTTCTACACTGGGAAGATGGAACACAGGCTGGGGTGACTGCTTTGCCGAACACATATGCTCTGTCTGCAAAATGGACCCCAGGCTTCCAATTGCCTGCCACTTCAACAAGCCATCATGTTCCCTGGCCAATATTTCTTTCACAGGCTTGCTGCAGTATTCCAGTGAGCCTTAATGCAAGCTCAAAGAACAGCATCACATTTTTGGCTTGGGTACCTGCAGCCTTTAGGACTCAGCATTGAGCTCAATAACATTACAGCCTGATTCCATGCTTTTTCTAATCCACGCTACACCCTGTTATGACATGGATTGTTTTTAGCACAGTCACCCATTCCCATTCTAGGCCTGTTAACACATTATATCGGTTGCATACAGTGCAGCTAACCCATTTTCTCACTCTTAGCTCTTCGTTATCACTCATCCAGTTTTACTTCTTTCCTGGTCTGCATTCATAATCTCCTTGTTTACCTAACCCTTTCATATCTCCCTCTCCCCCTCTCTGGGCTCCATCTCCACCAATCCATTCATCTCTCCCCTTCCTCCAACTTCAGTTTCAGCATAAATACCACTTTTTTATAGTTTCTAAACTATAGTACAGTCGTTCTACCGGAATGTTAACTCAGCTTTCTTCCCATAGATGCTACCAGACATGCTGTTTTTGTTGAAAATCCTAGGTCATTTTGTAAGTACTTAAAGGTAAAAGGATAACTGGGAAATTAGGGCCCATTAAGGATCACAGTAGTAGTTTGTGCATAGAGCCAGAGGACATAAGTAAGGTTCTAAATTAATACTTTGTGTTGGTGTACACTAGTGAGAGGGACAATGTGGGTACAAAAATACAAAGAACTATGATATAAAAGAAATTTGCATAAGCAGAGAGGAGATTCTAAGTTGTCTGGCAGGCTTAAAAGTAGATAAACCTCCAGGGCCACATGAAACGTATCCCAGTCTGTTGATCGAGGCAAGGGCGGAAATATCAGAGGCACTAACAATAATTTTCAGTTCCACTCTACCACAGGAGAGGTGCTGGAGGACCATAACCTGGTGTTGCGTGACTTCTGAATTTGTCCACTCTAGTCTAACACTGGCAGCTCCACACACTATCTAGACCTGTTAGAATTTTAGAGATTTCTATTAGATCCACCCTCATTCTTCTAAAGTCCAGTGAATTAGTCCTAACTGATCAAATTTCTCTTCATATGTCAATCCTACCATCCCAGGAATCAGTCTGGAAAACCTTTGTTGCACTCCCTCAATAGCTGGAACATCCTTCCTCAGTTAAGGAGGCCCAAACTATACACAATACTTCTCACCAAAGTCCTGTGCAAATATAGCAAGACAGTCCTGCTCCTGTGCTCAAATCCTCTCACTATGAAGGCCAACATGCCATTTATCTTTACCACCTGCTGCACTTGCATACTTACTTTCAACGATTGGTGTTTAAGGAGACCCTGATCTCATTGCACAATCCCTTCTTCCAATTTATTGCCATTCTGATAGTAATCTGCCTTCCTGTTTTGCTATCAAAGTGGATAGCCTCATATTTATCCACCTTCATCTACTGTGCATTTGTCCACTCAGTCAAATTGTCCAAATCACACTGAAACATCCCTGTATCCTTCCAATCTTCATCCTCCCACCTAGGTTTTTGAGTAATCTGCAAACTTGGAGATATTAAATTTAATAGCCTCAGATATTGGAAGGATTTGGAAGAAGCAAAATGACACCTAAATGAATCCTGTGTTCCCTTTTTTATCTTCACCCATGATATCTATGTTTTACTTATTTAAGTCTGTTTATATGTGTGTAGGTGTTTAACGGGTAGAGTTTAAGTTAGAATGTTATATTGAGGTTGGTTGGCTCACCGAGCTGTTTGTTGTTTTGCAGACATTTCGTTACCGTGCTTGGTAACATCCTCAGTGCAGCCTCTGATGAAGCGTCGGTGTGTTTTCCCGCATAGTTTTTAAACTCTGGGGTCCCTTGCGATGGATTGCCTCACTTCCGGGTTTCCTCCGTAGTGGAATGTATATGGGGTCGAGTTCAATGTGTCTATTAATAGCATGCTTCGTGGAGTGCCATGCTTCCAGGAATTCTCATGCTTGTCTCTGCCTAGCCTGTTCCCAGAGTTTAAAAACCAGGCGGGAAAACACACCGATGCTTCATCAGAGGCTGCACTGAGGATGTTACCAAGCATCGAAACGTCTGCAAAACATCAAACCAGCTCAGCGAGCCAACCAACCTCAACACCCACAACCTGAGCTACAGATCTACTCCAAAACATTAGAACGTTATAGCTATGATCAATAATTTGACTGTGGTTAGAACTAATTTATTTGTAATAAAGAGTAATTTCTTGTTAAGCATAGGAATCAGGTGAGTGTTATCCTTTAACCTGAGTTCATCAGGCAGGAGAATGCGACTGTGAGTAAGTTGATTAAATCTTTAATTTCCCTGACAGGGAGTAAGTGGTAGTTGTGTATCAGCACATTCCCAGGTGGGTTGTGTGCCAGATTCTAAACAAGGCCTCACACCTAAAGTTCATTGTTTGACCTGAGATGTCTCCTCTGGTATACTGATAAAACCTTTAGTTATCTTGGGGCAGAGACTTAAAAGAAACTGTCAGATTTGCATATCAATCCTTTCTAACTGATTAAAGATTTAATAGACATCTTAGGTTTGTTCAATACAGTCACATCAGTTCTATGACCCTTTGATCTTTTGCTTATAAATTCTGTGTCTGATGCCACCCTCTCACTAACACCTGAAGAAGGAGCGAGACTCCGAAAGCTTGTGTCTTCAAATAAACCTGTTGGACTAAAACCTGGTGTCGTTGTGATTTTTGACCTTGTCCTGCAGGTGGCAGAGCTGTTCCTGATGTACCTAAGATCACAAAGTCTGTTTAATTGAATTTGGCAAATAAGTTGGAAGTGGAATTGCCTCCCAGGGTTAAGGCAGCAGAAATAATCAAAAGGCTCGCACATCATTTGTGTTTTGTAGAAATGCAGGAGAAGGAAGCTAAGGTGGGTAGCGAAACATCAGAATCAATTAATATTGAGCTACAGTTAAAGCAGCTTGAACATGAAGAAGAAATGAAAAGGTTGGAGAGGGGTGTTCCAAAGGCCATTGGAAGTGAAAAGGTTGGAATTCAAATTTAAGAAGTTAGAACTAGAAATGAAAGAGAGAGACAAAACATTTATCCTTTTCTGATGAAGGGTCTAGGCCCGAAACATCAGCCTTTCTGCTCCTATGATGCTGCTTGGCCTGCTGTGTTCATCCAGGCCTGCACCTTGTTGTCTCGGATTCTCCAGCATCTGCAGTTCCTACTATCTCTCATTTATCCTTAAAATTCTGCTTTTAAAAATGGTGACCTCAGATGAAAGGGACTGTGATGAGGCAAGTTTTAACAAAGTCAGTAAGAATATATTTATGTTCACATAGATCCTAGCAAAGTTTGAGGAGATTTATGCAGCACTGTCAGAAGAGGTTACTAGGGATTACGATTATGAAAAAAGGCTATTCTGGATGCATGTGAGTTGATGTCTGAACATATAGGCAGAAATTTCAAAATTTAAGGAAATAGCCTGGTTAAATCTACATTTGACAGGTGGATACTACTGATAGGAGCTGAAACCACTTATGGGTGAGATCATTTTCTGGGAAGAATTTAAAAACTCAATACCTATTATAATGAGAACTCACGTTGAGGGCCAAAGAGTTGCAAATCACAGGCAAAATGAAAGAATGGGCAAACAAACACACTACAACTAGAGATAACAAGGTGTAGAGCTGGATGAACACAGCAGGCCAAGCAGCATCAGAGGAGCAGGAAAGCTGATGTTTCGGGCCTAGACCCTTCTTCAGAAATGGGGGAGGGGAAGGGGATTCTGAAATAAATAAAGAGAGAGGGGGAGGCGGATGGAAGATGGATAAAGGAGCAGATAGGTGGAAAGGAGACGGACAGGTCAAGGAGGCGGGGATGGAGCCTGTAAAGGTGAGTGCAGGTTAGGGTGGGGGTTTGTCAGTCAAGGGAAGACGGACAGGTCAAGGAAGCGGGGATGAGGCTGGTAGGTAGGAGGTGGGGGTGGGGGTTGAGGTGGGAGAAAGGATGGACAGGTTAGGGAGGCGGGGACAAGCTGGGCTGGTTTTGGGATGCGGTTGGGGGAAGGGAGATTTTGAAGCTTGTGAAGTCCACACTGATACCATTGGGCTGCAGGGTTCCCAAGCGAAATATGAGGTGCTGTTCCTGCAACCTTCGGGTAGCATCGTTGTGGTACTGGAGGAGGCCCAGGATGGACATGTCATC